GCCTGCGTGGCAAGCACAAGGTCCTGAGTTCAATTCCCACTACAAAAAAAGAGGTACAATAAAAAAAGACTGAAATGAGCCAGGTGTGGTGGTGCACACCTGTAATTCCAGCACTCAGGAGGCTGAGGCAGGAGGATCGTTGCGAGTTCAAGACCAGCCTGGGCTACAAAGTGAGCTCAAGGACAGCCTGAACTATAGCGAGACCCTGTCTCAAAAAGACAAAAAAAAAAAAACCTGAAATGAGGGGATAAATTTTGACATTGTTTCCTATTATTACAACTTCTAGAAACTTACAGTTAATAAAAGAATGAGTTTGATGGTCAGAGATCAGAGACTGAGTTTTCTTTTAAGATAAATCGCTAAAGTAATCTGCCCTGTATTAGTGGCCCTGGATATTCATTACTAAGCTCTGATATTTAGTGGTACTATGTTAGGTCACATTGCCATGCAAGGTAAAAGGAGGGCATGAGAGTTCTCCACCAAAATGTTTTTGTCTGCCTCAGGTTTGATGCTTGTTTGTATACCACTAATTTATTTTGAATGTTTGTTCTATTAATTTTTTAATTGTGCTATAAGCCCATACTGTATTCTTCCCGTGAACCTTTATTAGGAGGCCAGTCAGACTTACACACAGAGTCTGCACTGTTGCCAGAGATATTTAGTCTTTACCACCCAGGAGGATCCAATTAATGCTTTGCTTGCTTCCTTTTATACATGCACCATTGTAAAGTGAAATACTTCCTTTCCCCACTGTTACTTACCAGAATTCTATCCAGTGAATCAGCACAAGTCATAGTCCAATTTCTGTTGCTCATATCGTCCAGGGTTTGGCCAGAAGGAGCACATTCAAGCTGTACCTAAATCACTGTTTGAGCGCTTCTTATCTCTTCACCCCCACCTTGACATCAGCCAGGTTCTTGAGAAAACTCACTCCTTCTGGTGGACAATGGCATTTAGGAACCACTTCCAGGCAGGCATGGTGGCACACACCTGTGATCCCAGCACAGAGGAGGATGAGGCAGGAGGATTGATTGCTGTGAGCACAGGGCAAGCCAGGGCTATATAGCAAAGTCTTGTCTCGAAAGAAACCAAGCTCTGGTGCTCAATGTGCTTATTGCTGCTGGGTGCTTCTGCTTGTATCCCCTCAGCATGTGGCCAGAGCTGTGAGTACGTGTGCCGTGCAGACTCACACACATGTGGCTGTGTGTGTGGGTTACAAAGCAAACCATGAGCCACATGGCCCCTCTGGTTCGGTGTCTGTACTACATTCTCCCTCCTGGATGCGGAAAACGTGGATCCCATCCCCTTCGAAACGTTTACTGAATCCAGGGATGTAGCTCAGCGGCACAGCTCCAGCCTGGCAAGTGAGAGGTCATGAGTTCGATTCCCCGTACCAAAAAATTTTTTAAAATGTGCATCCAGTTGCTTCACTGACCACCTGACACACTCTGAGTCCCACTGCCGCTGCCTCCCTGCTGCGAGTCCTCCCACCTGGTGGCTCTTGCTGCCCACAGAGCCAGTGCCAGCTAGGACTCCTGCAGCGAGGTCCAGACCTTGCCATCCCTTACTGGCCCGACCCTCCCCACGCCTTTCCCCTCCACACATCCTGAGTTCACACCCACTGCCCCTCGCCACCTACAGGTTCCTGCCCATGGGCAACTATCCCGTGCCTCCTCTAATTCATATCTTACTTGATCATAACATTTACAGATATTCTTATACCAGGCATGGTGGCTCACACCTGTAATCCCAGCACTCAGGAGGCTGAGGCAGGAGGATCCATCCAAGTTTGAAATCAGCCTGGACTACATAGTCAGGCAAGACCCAGTCTGAAAAAAACACAGAGCTACATAGTGAACTCGAGGCCAGCTTGAACTATAGCACGAGACATTGTCAATAAATAAATCTTTTAATATTTATTTCATGAAGAACTAGGGTGTTTATATTCTCAAAACCGAAAAAGCCTAAAAAAAAGTAGGAATAACGTGAGGAGACTTCAGAGAATCCTTCCCCCAGCCACTGGATTCTTCTTCCTGTAGGGTTATCTACTTCCTCCAGTTGCACCTGCACCCTCTAGAGATTTTATGCCCTTATTAATAGAAACAAGTACTGGTATTATAACTTCATTACAGGGTATTATATGAACTATGACATATCTTACTCTTTCATATGACATTATATTCAGCTTTAATTAAACCAAGACTCTTAATGAATTCTTAGTGTTTTCAGTCCTTTCATATATTTCCCACTCCTGTAATCCCAGCTACTGTGGAGGCTGAGGCACAAAGATTACAAGTTTGAGGCCAGCCTAAGAAACTTAGTAAGACTGTGTCTCAAAATAAAATTTTTTTTGAAAAGGCTGGTATATCTGGGCATGTTGGCGCACACCTGTAATCCCAGCATTCAGGAGGCTGAGGCAAGAGAATCCGTGCAAATTCAAGGCCAGCCTGCACTACATAGCAAGACCCTCTCTCAAAAACACAAAAAATAACAACAATAAGAGGGATGAGATACAGCCGTATGGTCCAGCTCTTGCCCACTTCGTGGTGTGAGGCCATGGGTTCCCCCATTTGTAATTCCTGTTCTGACAACCGTTTATTCATATACTTGGTCCATTTTTTTGGTTGTCTCTTTTCTTCTGATTTGTAGGTGCTCTTTATATAAGGAAATGACCCCCTGTATTATAAAATGCAAATACTTTTCCTGGTTCTTCATGTAACTTCCAATTTTTCTTTACAATAAGTTTTTCCTCACAAAAATACTTTGTGGAGTTTTTTTTTTTCCCCCATTTGCATGTTCTAGATTTTTATGTCTTAGTTAGAACTTTTCAAATTTATTATATAAATTCTCTCATGATTTCTTCTAATACCTTTGTAGTTTTATATTTTTATATTGCCATTACTCAGGAATTACCATAAACTGCTGAAGTATATAGCTCAGTAGGCCCTGAGTTCAGTCCCAGCACCAAAAGAAACAATTGCCTTAGAAAAGAACCCCCAGATAATAATAGTTTCCTGTTACTAGAAATATCACAAGCTGGTCATAGTAATGCATGCCTGTAATACCTGGGAGGCTGACGCAGGAGGATCACTGCTAGTTCGAGGCCAGCCTGGGCTATAAAGTGAGTTCAAGGCCTGCCTGAGCTGTATAGTGAAACCTTGTCTCAAAAAGACCAAAAAAAAAAAAAAAATTAGAAATTCTTAACGTTCAGAACTTCCAGGGCCTTGCTCCTGAGCATGGTCCCCAGACTACTAGCATATAATGTCACTGGAAATTTGTTATGCACCCCTGACTTTTTAAAAACCTATGTGCAAGGGGCTGGGGATTTAGCTCAGCGGCAAAAGCGCCTGCCTGGCAAGCGCAAGGTCGTGAGTTCAGTTCCTGGTACCTGAAAAAAAAAAAAAAAAAAACCTGTGTGCATTTTAACAAGATCTGGTCATGACTATGCATATAAAATTGGAGAAATATAGCTTCAAGGCAGGAGTTCAGCAATTTGTTTCCTCCGAAAGACGGGAAAAGCAAGTATTCTGTTTTATATGCCAGCTGCTCCGCTTTTGGTGGTTGCTGGAGGGGGTGGTGTGAAGCAAGAAGCATGGCTGCTGCGTGTGAAAAGCCGTTTCCAGCAGTGCGGAAGTAGACTAGGAATCAAGGCTCCTAGTGCTCTGGTCGTGGTTCCCCTCTGTACTGCTGAACTTTTACCTTCGACACGTGCTTAGTAATCTAAGGTGTAAAACATTTTTTTGGGTTTGGTTTGGTTCTTGAGACAGGTTCTCACCATATAGTTAAGTTCAGGTGCTCCAGCACTGCCTACTTAGCAGACAGAGGCTCCCTGCAAAATGCGTCAAAGAAACTTCTCTCAGAGTTTAGGTTGACTCACATTGTAAATCTATTGGTGCTACTGCTAACTTTCGTATCACGTGCCTGTCTGCTTGCCTACCTGCCTGCCTGCCTACCTGCCTGCCTGCCTCTGTGTGTGTTTGGTGAGTGCCTATGGTACTAGAGGTTGACCCCAGCACCTTTGCACTGAGCTACATCCCCAGCCCTTTTTTTTTTCTTAGTTTGAGACAAGCTTTTGTCTACTTTGACAGGTTGCTCAGGCTGGCCTCGAATTTGAGATCCTCCTGCCTCAGCCTCCCAAGATGTGCACCACTACACCTGGCTAACTTTAGTATTTGTAGTTTTTATAGGTTAAAGAACAAGTTGGGCTATATAACTGACAAAGTAGTAGTGCCAAGGATATTTTTATTGGATGGTCACTCATTTTTATGTGGCCGCTCTCTCATTTATCTTTGAAGGCAAGCCTGAAGAGGCGTGTGAAAACCCACACTGCGCCGCAGCGCCCCCACTTCAGCACACTCTGCACATCGTGGACGAAGACCCGATCCCAGAGGAGCAGGTAAGGAAGTGCCTCTCCTTCCTCCCGGAGAGGAACCGCACACGAAGCGCTCGCCTAACCTGCTTTAAAGTGGAGCAGCTCATTGTTGATAGCTTAGTGAATGTGTTTCTACGGAGCTTCAAAATTAGCATCTTGTATTGAGTTTATACCAAACCACAGCCCTTAGTGCCTGCCATTTGAATTCACCGAATCCACCAGGGGATCATCTTATTATTTCTATCTAATTGTCCATTTCTTAGAGGCCTTTAACAGTGATTAAACACAAGCCAGGTGTGGTGCCACGCACCTGTAATCCCACTTGGGAGGCTGAGGCGGGAGGACTGCTGCAAATTTAAAGCCAGCCTGGGCTACATAGCAAGTTCAAAACCACGTGAACCTAATGAGACTGTCTTAAAACAAAACAAAAAAAGTGATTATAAACATAATGAATGTTAGTATATTGGCAAAGGTACCTCTGAAATACTGATACATTTTGGTCTCAGTAGTGGCTCACTTTATCAGTATATATGCAGAATCTCTGCGCACTTAACGTTTGTGTGGTTGACTGTGCACTATTATACCTCAGTGAGCGGGGCATGGTGGCACATGCCCATCAGCACTCGGGAGGCTGAGACAGGAGGGTTGCCTTGAGTGTGAGGCCACGCAGGGCTACATAATAATTTTAAGACCAGTCTGACTACATAGCGAGACCCTGTCTCAAAAAATATATACATATATATTATACCTCACTTTAAAAAACAGATTTTGGTGATTGCCTTAGGTATTGACAAAGATTTCTTTTGCTCAGTCTAATAAAAAGTTCCTTTCCTTGGAAAAATTATCTATTCAGTATTCCAGGTTGCAAACAGAAACTGATTTAGGTTAGTTTAACAGACACAATTTATTTAAACCATTAAGTAGCTGACGGCACCCTGCAGAGGGCCAGATAAGCAGGCTTATCCCTGGCTGGGCTTGACAGACCAAGGCGCTCAGAAGAGCCGTTCCAGCCGCAACCCTGTTGCTGAACCCGGGTGCAGGGCCTTGCCCTTGCCCCTGCAGTGCTGAGGGGTGAACCCACTTCAGAGCCACTCCCTGCGGACACATGCTCACCCCCATCTCTGGATGGATCCTCGGAGATGCAGCTCTGTGAATGCAGGGCTGAGTACAGCATCCGTGTCATTGGCCTGAACCGTATCTGCAGGGGTCGCTGGGTATGCGGATCTCCCAGTCCATGTCACAGAGGGGAACAGAGGAGAAGTGTCCTCTTACCCCAGCAGGCTTCAAAATTCCACGGAGTCAGAGGAAATGCAGATAGCTGTCCTAGGAAAAGCACCATGACCAAGCACCATGGCGCAGGCTATAATCCCAGCAGCCCAGGATCCTGGAACAGATGGATCTCAAGGTTGAGGCCAGCCCAGGCAACTTAGCAAAAATATAACAAAGGGCTAGGGTTGTAGCACAGTGCCGAGGCCCTCAGTTCAATCCCTATACCACTACCACCAAATCGCCAGCCCAGTGCCTCCTACTGGTTTGGCATAGCAGTAACTCTCTTAACCATGACGACACAGCGTGGTGCAGGAGTAGACAACCAGCCCTGGAAGTTGTTCAGCCTTCTCACCATGCTTTTCCATGTCTGCTGAGCGTTGTTTTAAGGAGCTTATATGTCTCTAGATGCTTGCAGATTTTTCCTGTCTTTTACCCGGCTGTACCCCCGTGACCCTGTGCCCACAGCTGGTCTCTGAGCCAGGCAGCTGTGAGTCAGCAGATGCTACTGAAAGACTGTGTGAAGTCAAATACTCGTGCTTTTATTCACTTGCAGGAGTTAGAAGCTTACGTAGACGATGTAGACGTGGACAGTGATTTCCGGAAGGATGATTTGTTTTACCTGTCTCAAGAAGACAAGGAAAGACAGAAGCAGGAGCAGGAGGAGTCCAAGCGGGTCCTGCAGGAGCTCAAGTCCGTGCTGGGCTTCAGAGCCTCCGAGGCGGAGAGGCAGAAGTGGAAGCAGCTTCTGTTCAGTGAGCATGGTGAGCACTGGCTTCGGAGAAACGGTGTTTCCTCAGAGGGGGCCTTCTGTTCCTGAACCAGAAATCTTGTTCGGACTGGAGAATTAATTCTTAAGGCGTTAATTCTAGGGCTGCACTAGGAAGCACTTGGTAATCACTGGTAGTCTTCAAGGAGCAGGACAGTCTGTCAAGGAGCACGTTGCTTGTGGCGCTATCTTCAAACCCAGAACGGCTCCCTTTCTGGTTTTATTAGCCAGCCCATCATAAGAATCCACGATACCCATTATTTTTTCCGCCATCCGTCTGGCAGATAGCCTCCCTGACTTAGGCTATTATGATCAGACCGCAGTTCTGCGGCTCCCTGCTGTTATTCATGGAGAGAATCCGTGCGGATGCAGAGCCCTTCCATCCTCTCTGCCTCTGCTGCAGCCCCTAAGGCTCCAGCCGCACTGCTGTCGCTGCTGTCTGCCCTGCAGGCCCTGGCCCTGGCCCTGGAGAGGCCCTGTGAGCAGGAAGGCAGGCAGGAGGGCCCTGGAGAAGTGGTAGTAAAGACCAGCTTCCTGTCACCTGCCTGTTTGCCTGTTGGGCCTATATAAGTTAGAAATAATGGTATTAGGTTTTAGCATTATTGTTTTCCGTGCATTCATTTTGTTTGTGGGGGGGGAATACTGGGGACAACCCAGAGCCTTTGAACTGAGCTATATCCCCAGCCCATTTTATTTTACTTTTAATTTTCAAACAGGATCTTGATAAATCATTAAGTTGCCCAGACTGGGCTCAAACTTGGCAGTCCTTCTGCTTCAGCCTTCCAGAACACAGATTACAGGTGTGCAACACCACACCTGACTTGTGTTCAGTTTTTCATCTCTGTAACTAAGCCACAAGCTTCTTCAGTAGGGGTTTGTTATCCCACAACAGCATTTATTCAGCAAGTTACTTATTCAGCAGGTAGCTATTGAGTACCTGCTACGTGCCAGGCTCCATCTACCGCTGTCTGCCTAGCATGTAGATGAGACACAGATGCCTGCTCCCCAGGGGTTTCTGTCCTGTCCCTTGTGCCCCCTTATGTGGGTCCTACACTCCCCTGCAATGAGCAACGGTCGTGAATATCAGCCAACTCCAGCATCGTACATTTGGTAAGAACTAGCAGATTCACAAACTACGAATGTGTATGAATCCTGAAAATAGCACTGTGTCTTCATTGCTCAGTATTTCCTTCTTATAGTTTTAAAATTACCCATTGACAGTATAGGCAAATCTGAAACGTGTCTCACTTTCAGGTATGTGCTTTTGAAACGGCCTGCAATACTGCCATGTAGTTTGTAAAAATAAGTACAAAGCTGTTGATAGCGTAAACTGCTTTTCCCTTGCCAATCCAGTCCACCTTCCAGAGCTGTTTTCGTCTCTGCCTACAGGGGTAAAGGCCGCATGGAATTAGAGAGGGACTGCACTGGAACCTGCCGTGGCCACTTTTTTCTGTGTTGCTGCTTCTCTAGTGGAGTTGCTGCAGCGTAGGGATGGCTCTTGGAAATGGACATGTTTTGCCAGTTTTTTAAATACACGCCAGCTCTTCAAGAAGCACTCCTTTCCTCCCGTCCTGCTTCATAATGTGTTGTATTGTACTAACCCCTCACGCTGGGAGGAGAGACGCCTCGCCAGCGACCCACTGCCTACTAACATCAAGAGGGGCTAAATCAAACTTCATTTCCTTGCAAGGACGCCTGGTGCCGTACGGATGCGTGTTGTATTTCTGTGCTATACCTTGTTCACTCGTGGGTCCTGAATGCACATTTACCTCGTTCGTGTTTTTCCGAGGCACTGCACATTGTGTAGATGTACGGCTTTCCTTCCGGTAGGGTCTTGTAGGTGGTTGGCAAGTAAGTCGAATTGTATGTTGCCCTCTCCCATGCTGTTTGAACTTGTAAACATGTAAATATATATGTTGAAGATATGATTATTTGGATCGCTTCAGGCATTTTACCTAATACATTCTGAGCGAAAACCATGCTGCTTACTCTTTCCTTATAGTGATTCTCATATTTCATGTGCATCAGAAGCAAGTAGCGGGCCTGTAAAACACAGCTGGAGCGGGCATTTCCAAGACCTGTCTAGGTGATAACTGACCCCGTGGGTTCAGGGACATTTTGGTGACCACTGCTTTTGAATAAGAAAATAGCACTGTATTACAGTGATTTCACTACAAAGTTTTATTAAGCTTTTATTTATTTATCGTTCTTTTAAAAAAAAAGCTGTGGGCAGTTTAAGTTAAATCATTGCTGGTCCTTAGTTATTATTTTTCTTTTTTCTTTTCTTTCCTTTCTCTGTTTCTTTCTTTGAAGCTGTGTTGAAACCCTTGTGTCCTGTAGATGCAATGGAACCCCTAAGTAATTCAGAGCCATCAATGAATTCAGATTTGGAAAAAGTCAGTCAAAACGGTGCCGAAGCGGAAACTAGTGAGCCCTCCGTAACGGACAGTGCAATAAGTAGGACTGAATATTCGTGCGGGACCCCTCCTGCCGGGGAGAACGCGGCCAGTCCCGCAGGCGGGGTCCTCTCCGAAGCGGCGGGAGAAAGCGCGTGCTTCCAGCGCGACAGCGAGGCCGAGCCCAAGCCTGAGCTGGAGCCGGAGCCGGAGCCCGAGCTCCGGCCGGCAGCACGGCACACACTGCAGCAGAGACTGGCCCGGCTGCAGCTCTCCCCGGAGCTCACCTTCACTGCCGGCCTTGCCGCCCAGGCGGCCGCCCGCTCGCTGTCCTTCACCACCATGCGAGAGCAGACTTTCGGCGACGAGGACGAGGAACAGGAGATGGAAGAAAACCCAGACGAGCCGGAAGGACAGCAAGAACGCGGGTGTACGTGAAGCGGTCTCAGCTAGTCCTTCCCAAGTGTCCTAGCTCCGAGACTGGAAGGGTGAAGCAGTGTGAGTTACTATGGGCAAAGCTAAGGTGTGAGCTCGCAGGGAGAACCCTGGTTTGAACGAGGGGTCTGAAATTAGTAGTTACCTGTAAATGGCAAATCATGTAGGAGAATAAGAAAAAGGTAAGGGCTCCTTGGCTTAAACGGGGATTTTATTTGTGGCACAACTGATAATCTGGTAATCCTTCCAGTACTTTTCATAAGAAATGAATTTACTATTTCTTGCCAGAATTTGCTGTCCTGAGGTGATCAGGATAATCCTGTCACAACAAGACCGTTTAGTATGACTTCTTTTTACTGTACCCTTGCAGTTAAGAACTACAGCTATTCTCAAGTTGTTTGTATTTTATTTTTTTGTTTATACCAACCTTCAAATAAGACACGGGCTCTGAATAAAAGAAAAATTAATTCATACAATTGACGTGTGCTGGGATTTGGAACTTCAAACAGGTTCACGATGTTTGGGTGTGATACATCTCTCCTGTCTCCCTGATCACATGTGAACTCCCTGGCTCATTTGAGATATGCTAACAGCCTCTAAGAGAAAACAGTATGCCACGTTGAGGAACATCCTTTCAATTATTTGTTGTCACTTCTTCCATTCCTGTTACAAGAGATGACACAAAAGTGAGAGAGACCCTGGTGGCCAAAGCCCCACCTCACCTTGGCAGACTGTTTTTTTTGTTTGTTTTTATTCTGAGACAGGGTCTCACTGTGTTGCTCAGGCCGGCCTTGAACTCACTATATAGCTAGACTGGCCTCCAATTCCTGGTGATGCTCCTGCCTCAGCCTCTGGAGTGCTGGGATTACAGGTGTGTGCCGCCATACCTGGCTAGCAGACTGATCTTTATATCAGTTTTCCTAGAGTTAAATGTGTGCTTTTACTATGAGCAGGTCACAATGCTGCTATTTTCTAGCCCTGCCACCTTACTGGGGCTCAGGAAACCTGTGGGCTTTGTGGAAGGCATCCCTGTCTCCTTAGTAATCCATTTACAAACTACCTCTTAGAAGGGACTGCTTTCCGCATCAGTGTCGGGACTGCGTTTTCAGAGTGACACTTGCAGGAGCATCCTGCCCCTCCTGCGTACTGACGTGCTCGTAGACATCACTGGGACAGCAGAGGAGGAGCGCATGCGCTGCTGCTGTCCTCCAAAGGAAACGACGTGGTGAATCAAGATTCTCTAGATTAAGAAACACATTCGAATGTCTGAAACTTAGCACTTTTGTGAGTAAATTTGCTTACATTAAAGCAATTTTTTGAATAACTATTTTTTATCCTAAGGAAAAACTTGGTTCTGCTTTGTATAAATAGTAGTGGTCTTTGAACCATAAATGATTTGCCTTTTGCTTGAATTCTGGGCGTTAACATAATTAGCCTCTCATGCAATATCTTAGGTTGCACCTTTGTCAAGGAAAAAGAACCTTCCTGTTATAACTGACTTCCCTAAATAATCCTTAGTTTGCTTTCTCACTTGTTAGTTTGCCCACTCCATTTTCCTTTGGATTTAGAAGATGTAATTATGGAGAAATGTCATAATCTCTCTAACCTATAACCTTACAGGAAGAATTAGAATTTAATAATTTTTTGTTCCTTTATTATATTTTGTTTCTATTCCAGTTTGGGGAAAATATCCTCATATAGTGTGTTAGTTTTATTCACTGCTCTCTGAGGTGATTGGACAAAATACTATCTCCTCTGTGAAAAATTCCTTGACTAAATGCTCTTATGGTATTCTGTGCCATTGTTTCTCAGTTATTTTAGTGGAGTATCTGCACCAGAATAAACTAAAGGTCTCATTTTTTAAATGCAGATTTCAGGCCATACTCTCTGTAATTCTTATTTTGGAATGATACCCAGCTAATGTTTATGCCCAATAAAATCTAAAAATCACTGTCTAGCACTTTGTTCTTACCACAAACACCTTAGGAAATAAACGTTAACCAACAGGACAGTGTCGTGTAAGTAGGTGTTCATGTTCATTACTTTTCTAAGAATATTTTACTTTTTCCTATCAGGTTCTGACTAGTTTTAATAACTACCATTCTACATCCAGAAGAAGCCCTCTAGGGAAACATTTTGTGGAGGAAACTGACAGTTATACTTTGCAAATTTCACACTATTGTTTGGACAGTTTAATTCTTGTTAAATGTAGCATCTTGACAGCTTCTGATACAGACATTGCTGCTATAGTTTGTTTTCCAGGACCAGTCTAGTTCTCCAAGGAAGGAGGCATGGGAACGGCCATTCGGGTCACTGTGGAAGACAGGACTTTGGGCCTTTGTCAACCTACAGATAGGACAGGCAGGCAGAGAGCGATCAGGCCCACAACCCCTTGGTCAGCATCTCTTGCCAGTCTCTTGCAGTCCGCAGGCCTGGGAGATAGCTCAGCAGCACAGTGCCTGCCTGGCAAGCCCAAGGTCCTGAGTTCGGTTTCAGTACCAAAAAAAAAAAAGATTTGGAATCCTCTGCTTGTTTTCACAAGTCCTATATGTTATCTGCCTTTATACTGAAGCCTTCCTAAGAAGTACAGCAATTGTGCTCACAAGTCCGAGCGTGGATACATTACTCACGTCTCCATTCTTAAATTACTAGAACAATCAAGGCCAGAGAAAGACATTCAGGCTTTCCTATAGAGGAGGCTAGAGTTTTCTCAGATTTACTCTATTCAAGCAGCTGACCTAGTAATGTTGAGTGGGATAGGGTAGCCCCAGCAAAACACAAATTCTCTGAATTGCTAAATGACATTTGCTCCTTCTCAGAAGATATCAAAAAGGAAATAAAACTTTTGAGACTAAAAACAAGATCTGACTGTAAATATGTCAGAATGGCGCTGGGGATATAGCTCAGTGGCACAGCCTGCCTGGCAAGCACAAGGTCCTAAGTTTGATTCCTGGTATAAAAGTAAATAGATAAATAAATATGTCAGAGTAGTGTATCTCAGCTAAATCATTGTTCAACTAAAGTAAATCTCAATCTACAAATATTGACTTATTTTTCCAGTTTTATTTATAGAAATGTGCAGTTTGTGCTTAGATTAGAATATGAAGGTGCAAATATTTTAGGAGAGAAAATACAGGGAAAAAACCCCAGACCATTCATTCATCTGTTGGGTAGGGGATACAGCTCAGCAGTACAAGCACCTGCACGGCAAGCACAAGGTCCCGCGTTCGATTCCCGGTACCAGGAAAAAAAGAAACAGTCATTCATCTGTCACCATCAACAGGTGATTGACTTGAATCAGTGAGTTCTCCAGGCAGCTGGGAAAACCCACTGACTCATTCCATCCCACAGCTTAATGACTAAGTGCACTTCTCCTTTCTGACTGCTTCTAGAGTCACACAATGTGCTTTCCCTTTTCTTTGTCAACTGCAGGAGTCTCAGCCCCGCCCCTGGGTGGTCAATGACTGGGTGACCCGAGCTGGCGTTGGCATTGGCGCGCGGCGCTTCACATATAACCACACAGTGCTGTGCTTTCTGAGCTGTCTGTGTCTCACGATCTCCGTATCTTCCCTTACCATCAGCTGTCCCTTGCCGCTGTCTTGTGTGCCTGCCTCCTGCACTAGGTCCTCCACTTGCTGCTTCGGACCTGCTGCGGACTGAAACCCGACTGCCTCGCTTGCTGGAGTTGAGTCTAAAGGAAGAGTAAGTAACGAACAGGCTGAGGGCTTTCCTGGCAGTGAAATGCATGGACTGTGTGGTACCTGTGTGGCTGCTAACATTCCTTTGTTTGCCTTAAAAACGTGCTAAAAATACTTGCTTGAATATGTGACCGCCATGTATCGGACTGACTAATCTGCTTTTGTGTATTGATGTTTCTAGGACTCTCCACTAATGAATTCAACTGTAAAAGGACATGTGACTGTCATCTTTGTATAAGTCATTGGTATATTTCAGGAGCGTTAAATATTTTGTTTTTGTTCATTCGTTCTTAGTTCATACAGCGGTTTAAAACTTACCGGATTATTCGTGTGACTTCAGCTTTGCTCCCCAAGACTCATTCTGAAACTACTGGATGGAGGCTGAGTGTGGCTGACTGGGGAAGAACAGGCTGACCTGACTATGTGTGAGGGATCAGTAGGGTATTACCGGGAGTGATCATCCCAGGTGGCCCTGTTTTCTACTGAGCGAGAGCTTCTTTCAGCATTTACATTTTTTGGAATAACTTCTGAACAAGTCTTTACAAAAGCCATGTGCACTGCTGTCTTCTTGAGCAATGTACCAAGTACACTTTAATATTTTATATTGAAATGGCCATTACTAACATTACTGATTATGCCCTGGTAGGTGAACACTGAGAACTATTTCTCCCCACACTAAATCACTGCATTTGGCTGTGCCTATTTGAGTTTTCCTGTCTTTGTTTTTAACAGTTGTGCTGATTCCTCCACTAACGTCCCTGCTTGCTCAAGTGTGCGTGTGACGGTGGCCTTTCTCCACATTCCTTTTTTTTCTTTTTTTTTTTTTTTTTGAGACAGGGTTTCCCTATGCCGTTCAGGCTGACCTTAAACTTACAGCAGTTCTCCTGCTTCAGCCTCCGGAGTGCTGGGATTAGAGACGTGGGCCACCGTCTGCACTGTCTTAATGCACCTTCTGATCTGCTTTGGTTTCGAACAGCAGGTGACAAAGCTAGTTAGAACTGCGTGTAAACTAAGAGTAAACAGACCCAGTGAGACCAGGAGTGCGCTGTGCACGAGTGAATAGACTTTCATGACGTCTGTTAGTCACTGCCTGTTAAGTTGTTCTCTTTAATCCGTGAAGTCCCTGGACTCGGTACTTGTTCTCAAAATATAAGAGTTGTTGTTGTGCAAGGGGTCCATTTCGTTTCATACTTTCTCTGAGGTTAGTTCTCTCCATCATCTGTTGGCTGTGATTAAAACCAGCCCATTCAAGTGAGCGTTTCTATAGTATTTTCTATTTGGATTGGAAAGTACATGCTGCCAAATGTATTTGGCTTTTTTTTTCTTAAGACAAAAGGATCTTCATTTCCAAGACCCAAAGTAGATCAAGCCCTGAAAAAGAAGAAGACATTCAGTATCGATATCACAGAGGTCTGCAAATAAGATCTGTAGACTCTAGGCAACTGTACCACAAGAATTTGTTCTTTGATATGTGACTTCTTCAGGTAGTATCTTCATTTTCTTTCTTTCTTTCTTTCTTTTTTTTTGAGACAAGCTCTCACTTTGTAAGTTCAGACTGGCCTGGAGTTCCCAAACTGGCCACAAACTCACAGTAATTAACGCTGGGCGTGGTGGCGCTCGCCTGTAATCCCAGCACTCGGGAGGCTGTGGCAGGAGGATCGTCGTGAGTTTGAGACCAGCCTGGGCTACAAAGTGAGCTCAAGACCAACCTGAACTGCATAGTGAGACCCTGTCTCAAAAAGACAAAAAAAAGAAGAAAAAAAACAAAAACAAAAACACAGGGATCCTTCTGCCTCAGCCTCCTGAATGCTAGGATTACAGACGTGTGCCACCACACCCAATTAATATCTTTATTTTCATTCATCTGAAGAAAATATATTTTAAAAGCTTATCAAAAGTTATCAGTGTTCAATCTATGGAGATTAGGTATTGATAGACTAAACTGAATGACTAAATTCCCTCTATCATTCTATATTTGGTGTACAAATTACCATTTAATATGGGGAACAATCTAACAGATGTCTTCTTCTATTCTTTTTTCATTTTCCTTTGATTTGATTTTTGAGACATGGTCTTACTATGTAGTTCAGGCTGGCCTTGAACTCACTCTGTTGTCCAGGCTGGCCCCCAACTCACATTAGTCCTCCTGCCTCAGCCTCCTGGGTCCTAAGGTAACAGGTGTGCACCACCACACCTAGCTTGGTTTCCTGAGGCTGCCATTACAGAAGAAATAGTCAGGGAGCTAAGCCTAGGTTGGTGCAACCAGGAGAAAGCTTCTCCTGGATATAACCATGAGAGGAAAGCAATTCTACTCAGGTATCATCGACAGAAACTAAAAAGAGGATGAACTGATCCCAGGATCACACATGCACAAGTTTAACTGGAGTCCAGAAGACATGCTTGCTTTCATGCATATATTCAACTGTGTGATCCATTAAAATACATGTGCTACCTTTAAATGCTCTCCGTTTTAATCTTAGCCTGTCAACAAACTGGTACTTACTGAAATTGGCAACACGTTATTGTGACAGAACAAAATTTAAACTATGGATACTTCTAACTATGCTCTCTTTAAAAATGAGTAGTCCATGAGATATGGTTGTAGAAATATATATTTCCTCTCAGATTTCTATCTTAAGAGTTTCTTAAAGTATGGATCATTTTACTACTTTATGTTTTCTATTTCTCAGTTTTGCAGACCTGGTGGTGCATACCTGTAATCCCAGTGCTTGGAAGGCTGAGACAGGAGGATTGCCATGAGTTTGAGGCCAGCCTGGACTACATAGTGAGTTCCAGACTGGACAACACAGTGAGACCCTGTCTCAAAAAAAAAAAAAAAAAAGAAAGAAAAGAAAAGAAAAGCTGGGCATGGTAGCGCACACTTGTAATTCCAGCACTCGGGAGGCTGAGGCAGGAGGATTGCTCTGAGATTGAGGCCAGCCTGGGCTACACAGTGAGACCATGTCTCAAAAATAAAAAATTTTTTTTTTCTTTTTCAATTTTATAGTGTTTCTTAAAAGTTGAACTTTTTTCTAAAATTAAAGCATGTCTTTTACAGATTTACTTTTGTAATAACCTAAACAACGGCATGACCTTTACTGACCTTCCTAACTAACTCTTAAGGAAATGAATGCGTTTCTGAGTCACGGTGTTCTGCATGTCCTCATACCGGTCTGTGCCTTCTGTCCACCCGGGACTGAAATGACGCCTCCTGTGCACAGTGCTGCGGATGGCCACGGCCACCGGCGCAGCCCGGAGCTGTAGGGGTGCGGCGCCAGAAGCCACCCGAGCTGCAAGCGCTCCTGAGGAGTTTGGTTCTGTTTGGGTTTGTTCTAGGTATGGTCCCAGGGATCCCAGATCCAACCAGGCCCCTGGGCCTATCCTAGAACCAACCTAAGCCCGCGCATCACTCCTGACCGCCAGGAGCGCCAAGACAGAAGACGCCGAGCCCGCCAAGCGCCGCACCCGGCCCACGCCCAGAGCGTTCAGTCCTGCGCCCAGCTGTCTCGCCAGCTCCCCCGCCTGGCCCTCGGCAGGCATTGATCCCCACAGTAGAAATGCTGCGTGTTGACTACTAACCACCAGCGAGGAAAGTGCTTGTGATTTTTACTATCAGATAATCAATTAAAATGTCTCTTTTTAGCAGAAGCAATTTAACCACAAAAAAAGTTAGCCAGGCGTGGTGATGCAGGTCTGTAATCCCAGCACTCAGGAGGCTGAGGCAGGAGGATCGTTGTGAGTTCTGCCCCCAGATAACCCTCCTCCAAAATTGATGGGTTTTGTTTTCCTAAGCCCTTCCTACTCTACAGCATGGCATCGGGCTTGCATAACTGAGTCGGCCTTCCCCGCTTCCGAAGGGCACACGGGTGGCCTTCTGGCGCCAGGGCTGAGTACTTGCTGGACCTGTTGTCTGTAAGCCGAGAGGTCTTTCCCTTCCATCTCACCCTAAACCTGCCCGACTTCTGGCTTCCGGTAGAGGCTCGTTCCGTGGATGAAAACAGGCAGGGCAGACCGGTTAAGACCTTAACCGATTCTACATCACTGTTGTGTAGAAGAGGTTTACCGGGTGTATTTTCACTCCTGGCTGTTCCGGAACTGTAAATATTCTGACATAGTAAGTTCACCAGCTGGCCTCCTCCTGGCCGTGGCACTGGCATCGTCACGTTTCTCTGTTTAATTGGAAGACAGGATTTCGGAAAAGGCACAAAAGGGCGCCCCAGAGCATATACTTTTGGCAGCGCCGGCTCCTGCTTCAGAGCAGTCTGGGGTCACCGTGACTGAACCAGACCTGCGTGGGGCAGGACGAGACTGGGTGTCCCTCTGGGGTTGACACCCCAGCGTTAGGGGAGCGGTCCCCCCTTCAGCAGCCAGTGGTCCGTGTGGGTGGGGTGCTGCCACACCAGTCACGCAGAGACTACAATCTGATGTTCACCCTCCCCTGCGTGTGCTCTGCATAGGGCTTTCCTGTATCTGTGTACTCAGCCGGGAGCCCGGGGAACTATTTCTTGACAGCCTGAAATGAAGGTGAGCCTGGGGTTTCCATAGATACGTGTGGTCAGTATCTGGGGGGGTATCTGTCCATTCCCCTCCCTCACTCCTTCCCACTCCCTGCTAGAACTGAGGATTGAACCAAGGGCTTTACATGCAGCGACATCCCCAGCCCTTTATTCTTTATTTTGAGACAAGGTTCCGCTAAGTTGCCCAGGCTAGGCTCAACCTTGTGATCATCCTCCTGCTTCAGCCATCTACTGTGCTAAATTAAAGGTTTGCACCGCCACACCCAGCTGCACTTTGTTTTTTGGACAGGATCCCACTATGTAGTTCAGGCTGGCCCTGAACTCACTATGTACCCTGGAATTTATAGTGATCCTCCTGCCTCAGCCTCCCAAGAGCTGGGATTACAGGCATGTGCCACTATGCTCAGCCCAGCTGTGATCTGTTAACATTTTTAATTATGAACACTGAACATGGGAATGTGTGGGCTGTTTAAGGAGTTATGCTTCTTTATAAGGTCTACCTTCAACTGGGTGTGGTGGCACACACCTGTAATCCCAGCACTAGGGAGGCTGAGGCTGGAGGATCACCATGAGTTGAGACCAGCCTGGACTACACAGTGAGACCAAAAATAAATAAATAAAGTCTGCCTTCAGGCTTATGGTGCAGCTCAGTGGGGGAGCACTCACCTACTATACACAAGGCCCTGGGTTTCATCTGCATTACCACGAAAGAATTAATAGAATTAAATACACATACACAGAATTTGAGACTACTCAGAGACACTTTAGTTTTGACTTTTTGATCACTGTGTTTTATATTAGAACTAAATATTTCCTAACTGTCCCTAAACACTTGAGATTATAATCTTTTGGAATTATAAAAATACCATAAAAGTTACCATCTTGACTATTTCTTAAGTGTACAGTTTAAAAGTTTAAATATTCACATTCACGTGGTAGTGAAATCTCTGCAACTTTCTGTGTAATTCAAGGCGCATGCCCGACAGATACCGAGCCCTGTCTAATATCCCCAAGCCTGCAGCTGCCACTGTGCTTTCTGGCACGTGCTCCAGTCCGTCTCACTGTCGCCTGTGGCGGGGTCCCCTGTCTTCCTGCGGCCGGTGCTCCACCTGTGTAACGTATCTGTCCGTCTGCCCTCTGTTGGTGACATCTGGGTGGCCCCTGCCTCTCAGGCCTTATCTGTAATGGTGCTATGGATGTGGTGTGCAGATGTCTTTTTATAAACTGCAGGATTTTATTCATCGTCTCTGTATTTTATCACATCAGTTTTTGGTCAGCTATTTTAAAAGAATTACCAAGAAGCCAACTGTAGGTTTGCATATGGCTGTACTGTATTACTGTCCCTCCTAAGTTTAACATGTCATTAATAAAAGCTGCACTTCCTTGTATCTTCTGTGTGTGTTCCTCCCCCCCCCCCCCCCCGCTTTGCAACATGATTAATAGCAAAAAGGGAAAAATCCTCTTTCTCTCCCATTACAGTCTTTTTCAGCATTATGGAGAGAGAGGGAGATGGAGCCAAGTGTGGTGGCACACACCTGTAATCCCAGCACTCAGGAAGGAGGGTCGCTGTGAGTTTGAGGCCAGCCTGAGCTACTCCGTGATATCATCTCAAAAATAAGGATAAAATAAATTTTAAAGAAAGATGGCAGCTGTCCAGGAAAGCCTTTCCTTCATAGCCCAACTTTGGTTTGTTCACTTCCGTACCTCAAATGACTTCTCAGAGTGAAACCTGTTTAGATTTGCATCATACCATTCCCACTGGATGGGATCTACAACCGCTACTGACTGATTTGAGCTCCCGACAAGAACACCTGCGCCACAGGAGGGCGTTTTGCCCAGCACCTCCTGCACTTCTGGGAACACCCCGGGCAGCCAGCACAGCTCCTGGACCAACTGCTGGCCAAAGGGAAGGTGGCCTTCTTTGAACTGAACTTTAAACCACCCCTTTCCAGAAAAGATCTGATGCCAGGCGTAAATATCCAGAAGGGCAAATTTCTAAACTTGGCCCTCATGGGACATTTTCCAATTAAAAGTGAAAGCTAGGCGTGGTGGCACACACCTGTGAGCCCAGCACTCAGGAGGATCACAAGTTCAAAGCCAGCCTGGGCTACACAGTGACAGCCTGTCAAAAACACAGAAATAAGGAAATGAAAGTAGAAAGAAAGTAGGCTGTGTTATTCTAGGTCTTTTCTGGCTCCACATGAATTTCAGGAATGTTTTCGCTAGGTCTGTGAGTTATGTTAATGGTATTTTCATTGGGATTGTATTAAATCTGTATAGCAGTTTTGGGAGTATGGCCATTTTCACTATGTTGGTTCTTCCTATCTGAGAACAAGGAATATCTTTCCATTTTCTGATATGCTCCTCAATCTCCTTTTTTAGGGTACTTGTAACTTTCACAGATTTTTTTTTTTTTGACACAGGGTCTCGCTATGCAGTTCAGGCTGGTCTTGAGCTCACTTTGTAGCCCAGGTTGGTCTCAAATTTGCAACTCTCCTCCTGCCTCAGCCTCCTGAGTGCTGGGATTATAGGTGTGCGCCAGCATGCCCAGCTCACTGTACCGATCTTTTACATCCTTTATTAAATTGATTCCTAAGTATTTCATTTTTTTGGATGACATCGTAAAGGGTGTGCTTTCCCTACTTTCTCTCCCTGAGTTTGTTGCTTGTGTATAGGAATGCTAATGACTTTTCAGTGTTAATTAACTTTGTGTCCTGCTACACTACTGAACTTGTATATTAAATCCAAAAGTCTTTTGGTGGAGTTCTGGGGATCTTCTATGTAGAGTATCATTTTGTCTGCAAATAATGATAATTTAACTTTTTTCCTATCCTTATCCCTTTTATTTTTTGTTCTTGTCTAATTGCTCTGACTAGTGTTTCCAAAACTATATTGAGAATATGCAAAAGCAATTCTGGATAACAAAGGCAAATCAGAAGGCATCACAATCTCTGACCTGAAATTATACTATAAAGCTACTATGATAAAATCAGCATGGTATTGGCAAAAAACACAAGCCTGAGGATCAGTGGAACAGAACAGAAGATGCAGATGCAACTCCAAACACACTCAGCCACCTTATCTTTGACAAAGGAGCCAGACATGTTCACTGGAAGATAGTCTCTTTAATAAATGGTGCTGGAAAAACTGGCTTTCCACATGCTGAAGACTAAAACTAGACCCATATCTATTACCATGCACTAAACTAAAGTCAAAATGGATCAGGGATCTAAATATTAAAATAGAAACACTAAATAGAAGAGAAAGTAGGTAGAAGTCTCAAAGCATCAACAAATGGGATCTCACCTTACTAAAAACCTTTTGCATAACAAAAGAAATCCCCAACAAAGTGAAAAGACAACCCATAAAATGGGAAAAAATTTATAGGCCGGTTGTCCCACAGATAAAGGACTTATATCCAGAACATGAAGAAGTGAAAAAAAGTCAGACACCCAAAGTTCAAAGACTCAGGGGTGGGGATATAGCTCAGTGGTACAAGCGCCTGCCTGGCAAGTGCAAGGTCCTGAGTTCGATTCCCAGTACCAAAAAAAATTTTCAAAGACCCAATCCAAAAGTGGGCATCAGGGATGAATAGGCACTTCTCAGATGAAGAAATACAAATTACAAATAAATACATGAAAAAATGTTCAACATCATTGGTCATTCCAGAGATGCAAATAAAAACAACACTGAGATTCCATCTCACCCCAGAAAGAATGGCTTTCATCAAAAAGTCAACTGATAATAACAAATGCTTGGAGTGGCTGTGGAGAAAAATGAACCCATCTCTACTGTTGGTATAAGTGCAGACTGGTACAACCTCTGTGGAAATCAGTCTGGAGATTCCTTAAAAAACTGAGATTGGAGGTCCCATTCCAACCAGCTATTCCCTTTCTGGGTATCTTCCCAGAAGAATTAAAAGCATCATACCACAGTGATATACCTGCACCCATGTTTATAGCAACACAATTTGTAATAGCTAAGTGTTGGAAACAACCCAGACGTCCATCTACCGAAGAATGGATAAAAAAGACGTGGTATTTTTTTTTTTATAATGGAGTACGACTCAGCCATAAAGAATGATAACATGGAGTATTTTATAGGTAAATGGAGGCAACTCAAT